AGTAAGGAGGAAACCACAAGCTATAATGAAAGTTATAAAAGGGTGGTAGTTGATAAAACGACAAATTCAAGGAGAAAGATAGTTAGGAAGAGCCGGCGAAAGAATACGAAGGTCAACAAGGGGGCGTTAAGGGGATTGCCAGTTGAGAATAAGTTGGACCATAGGAAGCCCATCAAGAACTGAGAAGCTCAATGGTCAACTTTAAAGTAGAAATGTGGTGGTCCAGAACGGTCGAAGGGAAAACCTTATCGGTCAAGGTACATAGGTGAGAAGAGAATATGGGCACCAAGATGACTACATCAAGGACGAAGGACATATAGAACTAGCATGAAACATCAGTAAGAGGAGTCACGAGTAAAGAAGTAAGATGGATATGAGTTTAGCGAACCTGCTAGGATACCCTAAAGTGAAAGCAATACCATCTATGAGGGTGAGATGGGGCGATCTCTCGGGTGAAAATTTCTTCGACAGGGAAACTGTACGAGGAATTTCAGGCAAGGTCAAAGTACAATAGAAGAGATCGTACGAGAACTCCCAAGTTAAACGTGATAAGGAAGTGTTAAGTTAGGCGCCATGAGTGAAAAAGTACTCAAAATAAAAGGTCATGATTCTGGGGAGAAGTCATAAAGTTGATCGCAAGCTGGGTAAGATGCAAAGGATGCCTCTAATGCATACAGAAAGTCGAAGCAGTAGTATGAGGTTTCAGAGTTAGGCAAGAAGTAAGAAGAAGATGACCACTCAGTTTATGGTTAAAGGATAAGACGTGGCATCAAGGAGGAAAGCAAGGGATGCAAAGTTTGGAGATACAAGGACCTAGGTGACCTATGAGGTCAACCCTAGACGAGAGTTAAGTTAAAAGAGTTTTACCATCTGACTAGATGGAAGGTAAACCGCCATCAGTGACCTTGTGGTTGGACAGGGGCACTAACTTCTCATGTACCGAATGGATAGTTATCGTTCCTATATATGTACAAGGTGCAGCCGAGGTATGGTGAGGGGTATTAAGAACGTCAATAGGGATGTGTAAGGGATTTTCTCATGCTAAAGGAACCATATATGGTGAATCAGGCATCAAGTGTGCGTTTCAAGTGGAGTTATCAAATAGGAGAATAACGAGGTCTATAAAGGGAGAAGAAGTGATACCTAGGAACCAGCATCAGAGTCAATCATTATGCAGGTCAAACATTCTCTACATGAATTCTATACCTAGGAGAGTCGTCAGCAGTCAAGATAGGGGGGATGAAGTTCAAGGTCTTGGCCTGTTATGAGCTGAAGTTACGACGAGTCACGACCTGAATAGCTGGCTAATAACTTATTTCCTTAAGTTCTTAAGGAATCCTAAGTAGAGACCCAAGACAAATCGTTGAGAACAACAGGAGCTACGAATGCCATTACACCATCAGAGGCATTTAAGAAGGGAGAGTGCCATAGTGCCAGGGACGCATTGAGCAAGTAACTAGCTTGAGCAAGAGATTTATGAAAAATGGGTGAGTAATTAGTTGGCAAAGAGCCATACGAATTGGAGGAAAGGAATCATAGCTCAAGGTTGTACAAAGTAAATAAAGTCAAAATCCGCGAAGTGAAAAGGATTACCACAAGCGATACTTAGGGTAATCACAGTGGAGAAATTTCGAGGACGAAATTTCTATAAGTGGGGAGGAAATGTAATACCTCGACTTTGATAGGTTCAACATCAAGTACTGGACCAGAGTTGGAAAATTTTAAAACGAGCAAGTAGCCACTCAAAGCTACTCAATGCTAATGAGCTTGTTGAGAATACCTTTTATGGTCAAGAGGAAATAACTTGAGGTAAGGTAAACTATACGGGACAAGCAACAGACATCATCAAGGTTCATATAGAGAGAGTAATTTATTTGGGGCAAGGAAGGACAAGAATGGTGTTGATAGAGGAATGAGATTCAAGCAAATTTCGGGGACGAAATTTTTATAAGGGTGGAGAAAATGTAACACCCCGAATTTCGGGTTATGGTTCGACCATAATTCCGGAACGGTTGGGTTAACGGTTACGTACGAAGGGTTGCAACCGTGAATTAGTAATAATAATTTATTATATTATTATTACTAATTAATATATATATTTAAACCTAAAACTAAACCTAGAGGAGCACCACCCACATAATCACCAGAAGCCTTCTCGCCCAGGACCCATTCTCGAAATGGAAACCCTCGCAACTTTTTTTTGTCTTCTCCACCCGTAACCAATCTGCGCTCGGGGGCTGGGGAAATCAATGCAGAGCAAAGCAAAGCGGCGCAGTTCCCCTCTAACCCATCACCTTGCAAAATCAAGGTGAGTTGATCGATCGATTGGAGGGAAGCAGCTAGGAGGTGGGGCAAAACAACGGTGAACGTACACAGTTTGAAGAGCTTGAAACCATGGGGTAATTTCTCTGTACGAGGAGGTGGCAATGATTATATGGCCATGGGTTTCGAATATGTTAGTGGAATGGGGTTCGAATCAGTGGAGTACAACGATCAAGTCAACTGAACACTTAGGTCGTAAACCTCAACCAATTATTAAGGTGAGTGTAAAGGGGGTAAATTCTACGCCTTACGATTTTGAAGTATTTTCCTTGAGTATTTTCGAGTATTGATTTACGTGATGTATATGCAGTATTTGATTCATGTTTGAGATTGCCTGATTATTGTTGATGATATGTGATTTTGTTTGAGCTATGTTTGATGTGAATGTGCATGAGTTATTATTTAATTTAAAGCTTTACGAGTATAAGTTATTATGTTATTATTAAAGAGTAAGAAACAATTTCTTTTAAAGAAGTAACTCACCTTAAAGAAGGTGAAGTCATTTTAAGTGTTTTTAGTCACTAGCACCAGTCCGTTGCCATTTGAGATTTTCAGGTAGAGCAGCAGTTATGCTCTTGAGATCTTTGAGACAGAGCAGCAGTTTGCTCTTGAGATATTTAAGATGGGCAACAGTTTGCCCTTGAGAATTGAAGTGAAGAGCCACCACGATAAGTTTAAGATGTTAGGGGGATGAATCGTTACGACTTCCCTAACTAAGTTTAAGTTTAAGGAAAGCCTGGATGGCTTCTCATACGTATGAGTTGGCAACCGGACTAGCTACTGAGGGATCCCAGTGTCAGTCAAGTATTTAAGTTGAGATTTAAGCTTTAAGATTGGAGAGTAACAGTTACTCCCATTAGGTTTTAAGAGTTGAGATTTTAAGAACGGGAGTACAAACAACTTCCCTCAGTTTGAGTGTAAGTGTTTGATAAGAAGTGAAAAATTATTAGAAAGTTCAAAACGTAAGGGCGTAGACTGACCCCATCTCACTCACCAGGACTTAGTAAAGGAATAAGCGAGAACTAGATCGATAGTTGCAGCTAGAGGAGCAGTTAGTTAGCAGCAGCGAGATTGAAGAAGCTGTTCGAGGCAAGCTAGCTAGAGTAGGACAGTATAAGCGTCACAGAGGATGTTTAGTCAAGGTTTCAGTAGCAACCACATTAGAGATTATCAGTTATTTACATTTATGATTATGAGTATAGACTGGAGATCAGATAGAGATTTTAAAGTTTGAGTTTAATTTGCCCACGTGTTAGGGCTTTCCTCTGAGCTACAAGTGTGTGTTTTCAGTATTTATTTATGAAAATTTTTCCCGCTGCAATTTAAGATTTGAGTATTTCAATTATCAAGGTCATTTTAGTAAAAGTAGTACCCGGCCGGGTTAGGGTGTTTCAATGACAACATCAGCCCAAACTCTTTCCTTTAATCCCCTATTTAAGAACCTCCTCTACTCATTCTCTACCAATGTTGTCAAAACTGAACCGGAGCATGACCCGGTAATGCAAACGGCTCGCACTTTAGTGGTCCAACCGACATTAGACCTTTTAAAAACAGTTAGAGAACCAGTACCTAATAAACGTTATTAGTATATTTAGTGGACATTTCTTAATCAGAGCTAGTCTCTTTCCTTCGAAATGGTGAAATGGAAATAAGGATTCAGTTTGAGAGCCCGACATTTTTGGTTTATTTTAATTTTCAATTTTCTGCAATTTTTTAATTAAATTTAACGGCGGAATGGCAAAAACCGGAAGAGCGGCTCGAGCAGTTAACCGCCTCGACCGCTCGCCAACCGCTACATAAAACCGGAGAGGCTTTTAGACAGTTTCAAGTTGGTTTTACGACCGGGTGGCGATTTTACCGGTCGGGCCAAACGGCTCGAGCTCGGCTTTAATAACATTGTTCTCTACCACAACCATAACCCTATCCTTCCATCCCCTATTCTTCCTCTCCTTTCCCTTCTTCTTCTCCAATTTCAAAAATCCCATAGGAGAAGCACCAAAACCTCTATTCTATTTCATCCTCATCTACTAATAAGAAGAATAAGGTGGGTATTTCAATCTTCCTTTCATTTGCTTCGATTTTTCTGTTCTATATTGGTCGATTAGATTGTTATTACAAAAAGAGGTCGACCAGATCTGAGGTCGACCTATGATGTTTTGCATTTCAAATGTTACGGGTTTGCTTTGATCCCTTCTCGTTTTTTATGAACTAAGGTCGAATGGTGATGTTTTTGAGGTCGACCAATGATACTTTTGACTCCAAATGTTACGGGTTTTCCTCCGCCTAGTCGTTTTTGATTAACTGAGGTCGATCTATGACATTTTTTACGAGTATTTGCCTTCTTCTTCGACCCATATTTCTGCTTGATTCACTAAGGCCGACCTATGATGTTTTTCGGTCGACCAATGACGTTTTTGACGAGTCTTGGCCTTCTTCTTAGACCCATATTTCTGTTTGATTCACTGAGGTCGACCTATGCTATTTTTGAGGTCGACCTATGCTATTTTGACCCCAAATGTTAAGGGTTTGCTTCTACCCATTCTCGTTTTTTATGTTTCCGAGGCCGACCTATGATGTTTTTGACAAGTCTTGGCCTTCTTCTTCGAACCATATTTCTGCTTGATTCACTGAGGTCGACCTATGATGTTTTTGACTCCAAATGTTAGCTGTTTGCGTCGACCCATTCTCGTTTTTTATTACCTAAGGTCAACCTATGAAAAAGACCTTACCAGCAAAAATGTGGTTGGTAAGGCTCAACGCCCTACCTCCTCTTATAGTAGTAACAAGCCTGATTTGTGTCACTGGTCAGGCACACCGCGTCCCTCCTCACGAGCCAGCGACAGTACTTGCAGATGTGGTAATCCCTGTCCCGAATGTAGATGTCGAACCAACGAACGCCCTCTCCCCAATCGAAGGAGCAGTAGAACAGGGTCGTCTCGAAGAACTGGTGCGGTTGCAGCCTGCGGAGGTGTAGATCGTCGTGCCTGGACTTGCAATGGACCGCGAGTTCCCGTCCCTCGATGTCGTTCTCCACCACCACCGTTGTTTTCTTCTTTCTGGGATCCCAAGGGTTGGCGTCGACGGACATGGGCGAGTGCGGATAAGAGTACAAGTGCCACTAACAAGATGTTGTTGTGATGCGTCATCTCCTTTGGGTAATTATAAGAGGGTAATTATTACTAGTGATTGTTGATGAGCCGATGAGGATTGAGGCTATGGGTGTTACTTCTTTACGTATGTATATATATATATATATATATATATATAAGGTTTAGTGCATGCTGCTGTAGGATTAGGAGGTTCAGTAGGGAGAAAACATTTCGCCACAAAATTCGCTCCACAAATTTTATTAGTCATTTTGGATTGGGTGATTCTGATCATACGATGGAGAAGAAAACGGCCGTGGTTTTTGGGGAGTAGTTTGGGGTAAATGACGACTCTCTTTAGTTCTCATCTTCTCGACATTGTAGTGATTATCCAATAGATAAGATGTGGAATAGTTTCATAGGACTTCGACCAGGCTTGTGATACGATCAGTAACTATTGGTTACTGACCGATAAATAACTAAATCTTGACTTTTAGATTCAAGTGGAGCCCAGAAAATTCAGCTCTAATAGTTGTAAATTAAATGCATTTTATTTCCCTAATTTTTTTAATGGGCAATTATCTTCTTCGTTCTAACTTTGATTTTCCCCCCACAGATGGAACGGGTTCGTTGTGCTCTACAAAATGAGAAACAACTTTTTTTCATATTTCCTGTTATTACCAACTTTATACCATATGGTAACTTTTTCGTTTTTAAGTAATTTTGGAAAACTTTTGCTCAGAAGGAACGATTTCATCATGATCTATTTGGACTTAAAACGAGAGAGAACTCGTCCGTTAAAGAGTAAAGGGGAAAAGATAAAAGGCTTTCCATGAGAGAGAGTGATGTTGATGTCATGCTGATGTGGACGGGTTACTCATGGTTACTCACAATAAAGGTTACTCACCTGATCTGCTCCCATTCGACGAAGTGTATGTTTTGTATAGGTTTGACTTCTTTGAAAAGTGTCAATTTTACGATTCCCACTTATTCGAAAAAGTTCGAAAGAAGTTGTTTGATATATTTTTTTGGCATTTTTAGGAACAAACTACATTAAATTATTCTAATTCTATAGAGGTTTGACCAAAACTAACCCTATGACTACTTTGGAGAGAGAATGATAAACTTGACATGTGTATGAAAGTGTTAGTATTGAGAACCTTTGCTCCATTGTTTCTCCTCTTAATAGCAATAAGGTGTGATTGCCTAGGTAACCAAATACTTGATGACTACTCCAACTACTTCGGGAACTCCTCTTACTACCTTGGTGACTAGTGGGTATTGGTTTGATGGCCTTGGCGCCGGGCCAGATTGTCACATGTTGAGTTAAACTTCACCCTAGTCTTACCCCCTTTTCCTTACTAGGTGGGATTGAAGCTAATACGACCCTGGGTGGGTGTATATTATCAAAGTCACGCAGCTAACGACTCAATTGAATGATCGATTGGGCTCGAATAATGAACGATGCATTCTTAATATGAACTTGGATAAAACAGAACCAAAAGGACGATTCCACACTTGGGGAACACTCGATTGAATTAAAGGATAGTTGCTCGACCACGATTGAAGTGACTATTCAATAGATACACAAGCTCAGCAAGTTTGGAATCCACCAAACCCAATACAAGTTCGCAAACTCTGAGTTTTACAACGGAATAGAAACCTTAAATAGGCATAGCTAAGGTTACACACGTCCCATAAACTCCTAATTACATTCTAATACGAAAAGGAATAAAAAATACCAAAACAATGAAGTCTTAACTAAACAAGAAAAAGAAAATCTGCCTTAGCTCCATGTAACCAAATAGCTTTGATTCCATCTTTGAGCCTCTCGATCAAAGCCTTCCAGGTAAGCTTCCAATCATCCAATGCCATGTCTTTGTAGTAGAACATAGCTAATTGCATGTGGTATAAGCCTCTAAACCCGAATCTCATCCATGCTTCTCGAATAGAGCTGCAAAGTAAGCTTCACAGTCACGTTTTCTGCATTAATCAAATTCTGGCAGTTTTCAGCTTTCCAGATTTCGGCAGTGTTGCCGCGAGGACCTTTGCCAGATTTGGACTTTGGAATCCAAGTCCTTCCCTGCTGATTCGTCACTCAATTTTTCTTCATTAAACTTCCTGAAGATGAGCCAAAGCAGCTTAGAGCATCCACGAGTCCTCAAGCTCGACAAATGTGGGTTGGACATTTTCCCGCCGTTGTCAGTTTTGAATTTTTGTACGCCCCGGAACCCAGCTTCTGATTTGGGTGTTTTTTATTCGCAGACGTTTTGGTCGATCTCTTGAGTTCCGCACGATCCTTGTACACCTAGAAACTCGCCCACGGTTCCAATTTTTCCCGACTCCTTCTTCACAGTCATAATCAATTCGCGAAATTTGGAGTCGTATGGCGTTGCAAATAGAGGGAAATTCGTCGAAATTAATTCAACCATTCTGGGTATGATCACTGCGATTTGATATGTGAATATCGTTCCTGGGGTCTTCATGATAGTTTCTGTACCTGTTGCGAAGCTCGAAACCTCGCCTGTTGGTCCCGCCACGAGAGGCGCCCGAGGACTCTGTTCTGTCGGAGCTGAAGAAAACGCGGCTGCTCGCGTCGCGGAGACGTTTCACACGTCGGCAGGCTTCTCCCAGACCTCTCCTCTCTTCTTCGTACTTTCTACAACCTCAGGGACTCGTAGTCGGCCTCTTTGTACGTCGTTACTTCATCCTCATCGTCGGCAAGACTGCCGAGGCCACGACTTTGTTTCCCCCCTGCAAAACAGAGGTCTTTGCAGGTGGTTTGTTCCGGCTCTGAAATTTTCTTCTGAAGCTTTCAAAAACTCATAAAGCTGAACCCAATTTGTCTTTGAACCCACAACTGAGCTTGTACGCTCTTTCCCTCATTTCTATTCTCCTCCATCTGCTTCAAATCGCCATAAACTTCGTCCGGAGAAAGAGGTTTCAGTGCTATCTTCTTACCGTGATGTTGGAATTTTTATCGATTGGTTCGACAATCATGAGAGACTTCGCGATCGAATTGACACAGCCTTCCCAGCATTAGATGAACACAATTCATCTGAACAACATCACAAATTACCTCGTCTTTGTAGCTGCCGAGTTGAAAACGAACTACCGCTTGCTTCGTCACATTGATCATCTCGTGTTCATTGATCCAGCTGAGTTGGTAAGACTCAGTGTATCTTTGCGTCGTCAATCCGAACTTTTGGACGACGTATAGGCTTATAATGTTTGCACAAGAGCCTCCATTGATCATGAGCGACACCACTTTCCCCTCGATGAAGCATCGACTATGAAATAAGTTATCTCTCTGCTTGTCGGATTCCCAATGTAGAACTCGACCTGCCGGCCGCTTCTCTTGGCCATGAAATTTCAGATTCCTGGCCTCTACACTGCACTCCACCATCTTTTTTCGTAGAACGAAAAAATTCAACTAGAAACAGTAGCTGCAACACACGAATAGGGTTGCTAAAAAACAGGGGCTGCTTCTCCCTGTTTTCCCTCGAATTCTGCTTATACGAAACAACAGGTTTTCGTGCTCTTCTTCGCCCTTGTGTAGAACGGGGCTCTGATACCACTTAATACGACCCTGGGTGGGTGTATATTATCAAAGTGACCCTGCTAACGACTCAATCGAATGATCGATTGAGCTCGAATAAAGAACGAAGCGTTCTTAATACGAACTTGGATAAAACGGAACCAAAAGGACAATTCCACACATGGGGAATGCTCGATTGGGTTAAAGGGTAGTTTCTCGACCACGATTGAAGTGACTATTCAATCGATACACAAGTGCAGCAAGTTTGGAATCCACCAAACCCAAAACAAGTTTGCAAACTTGAACAAACCAAACGATTTCTTTTCGATTAATCAACTATGAGTTTTACAACGAAATAGAAAGCTTAAATAGGCCTAGCTAGGGTTACACACTTCCCATAAACTGCTAATTACATTCTAATATGAAAAGGAATCAAAACTACCAAAACAATGAAGTCCTAACTAAACAAGAAAAAGAAAATCTGCCTTTAGCTCCAAGTAACCAAACAGGTTTGATGCTATCTTTGAGCCTCTCAATCAAAGCCTTCCAGGTAAGCTTCCAATCATCCAATGCCATGTCTTTGTAGTAGAACATACCTACTTTTATGTGGTATAAGCCTCTGGACTGGAATCTCATCCATGCTTCTTGAATAGAGCTTCAAAGTAAGCTTCACAGTCACGTTTTCTGCATTAACCAAATTCTGGCAGTTTTCAGCTTTCCAGATACACTTTTGAACGTCCTGGAAAATGACATTCTGGACTTCCTCTCGAGCTCCAGAGCATATCTATGGATAAATAAACATCTCGTCTTAAAAAAAAAACTCTTAAAAGCTTCCAAAGTAGCTTACCCGAAACTGTTTCAACACTTGACAAAAAATCAGAATTCCTCATATGAGTTGAGATAGCTTCTTTGGCATGTAGTTATGACTTTTGTATTGATCCAATTTGGATCATATCAGAAGCCTTGCCTCCACGATGAAGTCTTGATTGCACCCTTGACGATCCTAGTGTCCCCATATTATGTTTCTTTCTTACTCTCGTAAGGCTGGCCACCTTAGTGAAACTGTTTTGTTGACTAGGACTTGTAACACGCCTTAATGGGATGAGAACATACCCCCTTTCATGCCTAATTACCTAAACCCTTCTAGACCTAGCCTTGGAGAGCTCGGCATGGTGCCATCTCCTCGACTTGGTACCTTGGTCGTCTTGCCATCTTACTACCATCATATCTCTTCGGCTTAGTACATTGTCTGCTTGCACCAAACATGTCTCATAAGCTTTCTAACCTGAAAACGTTGTCAACTTGTCACCAGGTCCATGTCATCATCTTGGTACCTTGACTGTCTTGTTAGCTTGGCACCAAGTCCTTCTCAAATGTTTGTTACCTTGTCTGTCTTGTGAGCTTGTTATCAAGTCAATCTTGCCAGCTTGCCAGCAAGACAACCTCATTGGCTTGCTAGCTTGCCCTCCTTAATATATTGCCACCAAGCTTCTCTCATCGTCTTGTCACTAACTCGTCGCCTAGCATGTTGAGATCGACTATCTATCTAGGCTAGGGAGAAGAGACCACTA